CGAACATTTGGGTTGGGACTTAAAACCCTTACCCTTGAGCTATACCTAGTGTCTGTTAACGATCTAAACTTGCTATTCTAACACGTTCTGGGATGGTTTATCAATGGTGTCGGTGTCATAAATCGATCGAAACTCCACGGATTGTACTAGAGTTGATTAATTGCGCATGGATGATAAAGATGGTTGTTCAGTAAACCAGTGTCAAACAACCTACAAAACAATTACGGTTCACTATCTTCTCCTTTTATATAACACTCTTATTCCAAGATACTTTTAGTGTTTTGGACACCAGATTTCAGACGTACTTAGCTTATCTTGCATACGGCTACTGGAGGAGGAGAACAGACGAACAAGGGGGCTCGGGTTTTTCACAAGCAGATCTGTTGACCACAGTCCTATCGAGGTCAAAGCTCACAGGAAAAAACCTCTCCATAAATGATTCCTCTAAAATACTTTGAGATATCCGAAGGACCTAGTCGAAAGCGTGTTTTGGGTAACCCTGAATATTTTTTAAGGATTCAATTATTGACCCTTCTACCTAACTCCAGCACCGTTTTCTAATCTTTGACGTGCAACATAGTTTGATTATCTGTGTTTATTTGTGTGCGCATGGATACTGGTAATGTTGCAGTGAGGGGTGCATGAGCTTGCATATGTATGAACATTGATTTACCCATTAAGAACCTTCGCAATCTAATTTACCTATGCACATTTAATGTGCAATTCCAGTTCGATGGGGAGACTTACCGCCAAAAAGACGGAATTGCGATCAAGTCGCCCTTGGGTCCTCTCTTGGTCGATCTATTTATAGCTAAATTGGAAATGAGAGACTGGAACGCAGTATAAAAGAATAAATCATATATCTGCACAATGCAGATCTCATCTTCTGCGTAGTCAATTCCTTCATGAGCTACACTGTTCTATTGGAACTGTATAACAAAACACATAAGAATATGGGATTCACGCTGGAAATAGTATCTTCCGAGAGGTTAATGTTACTCGACGTTTTTCTCTCGCGTGATGTGAAAACGGTCCTCTTCAACGTAGCATTCAACGAGAGCAGACTTGCACAAGGCAGTACGCAAATTAGCACCTTCACAGCCAAAGAATGCATTGATTGATTCGACGCACGGCAAACAAGACAAGGCGAATATACTTAGCTGATTCATGTAGGGAAGAACTGAGAACAATCAGAACGAAGTTCATAGTAAACGGACAACCAGATAAGATTAGTGAACAATGTGTGCAAGTCATCACAAAAGTGCGACCAGGGATGACGGAAAAAGCAGTTTGCCTTTCCTTTCACTTCAAAGGTGACACATCTGAAATGATGGATAGGCGTCTCCAGATTGCAGTCAAAAAGGCATAGTATGCCGCAGACCTACGCATAATTCACATTTCCAAACCAGTTTTCTCATTGCAGACAAAAAGCACATACTACCTGTGGAAATGATCTCATTCTGAACTTGGCAGTTAGTTTTGCTTTGAAACCACTCACATTGATCGTATCACCCACGGCTTGGCCGAACGAATTCGAGAAAAACACCGTAGCTGATTTAGTCGCAGATTAACGAAAACCTGGTGGATAGCAGTCACGGCTCATTTGATCGAGACCGAACGTCGTGTCGGAAAGAGTGAAGCGATCAGGCCCATCTGCACGATCACCGGGGTGAGATCAAAGCAGCCCAGCATCGCTTCATGCAAACAGCCAAAGCGATCACGATTCGGTTGAACAAACCCGCTTGTGTGTTCAAAAACAGTCAGTCAGAGTTCTGGATTTACCATGGCCAGTCATAACCACTACAGTGATATGAAGCTGGTTATCAAATGAGTGTCAATTTCCTTATTTATTTGATTCAATCAACAATACAAATGACACCTACAGAATGACTTAAATTCGTATGCACCCTTTACTATATTATCCGGAGTATCTGTACACATGCATACAAACACAGACACGATCTACTTTATTCTGCTTCCCTGAATTATGCAATTTTATGCTATTTTTAACTAAAAATAATGTACCGAAAACGTGCTTAGTTGCCAAATTGACTTGTTAATGCAGTCCACAGGTACCTTTCACTATAAATCGAATACCCACTTTGTACACGTCTGAGCTAACGGCTTTAAAATTAAGCCTCCCTTCTGTTTCCTGTGTTTTTCCATTTCAGCCGCCAGGATTGCTGTTCCAACTTTGCAACTGATCGCCATAGTCTTTGTTCTCGTCATTGTCATCACGGTGGCCACAATTCTCATCCTGACCTGGCAATATCCGTTTGATTGGCACTTGCGTGCCGGTTCGTACACCACAGCGGCTACCGGTGGAATATTGTGGTTTTCTGGTAGGACCTCGGTAAACAATGTCCCAGACTGTCAGAGGGCTAAATCTTGTATAAAAAGTTTTGTAATTGTACACACTTCACACTTTGCTGAAAGAAGGGCTAAAAATTGTTAAACATCTAAAGATAGCTGCAATTAGTGAAGATACATTTCTATGATGCTTTCATTCCAGCCAGTATAGCACATTGTTTGACGTGCATACGAGAACAAGTGTGATAATTTGTAGTTTCATGGTGTCGCTGGTGAGTAGCCATGCGCATGTGCATTTTGTCGGTAAAGCTCAATCATATCTGGATTGCCGGCAGATAGGAAACTGTGTTTCATCCCTCTGAAACAGCTACAGATCGCCTTGAATGTTAGCTTTGGCGTCAGGTTCTGATCTATTATAAGCGAACGGGCCAAAACATCTTCATAACCGAGTTGAATGGCATTCTAAAATCCTGGATGATTGTTCTTTTTTTGTATTCCGGTTAAAAGGAGTTCAAACTGACGACAACTCTTTTCTTGTAAAATATTTAAAAACATTTGTTCTTCCAGAACATGGTCTTTGTGAGTCCTCTAGAAAAGTTGCACATAGCAAATCTATACGAACATGCGAATGGCACATAATCGAAAAAGGTAGAAAAGTCGTTTTTGGAAATGCTTATTTTGGAACATTTTTGAGTTTCATGGGGTTTAGAAAGTGCTTCAAGAGTACACTCATGAGAATGGTATATTATCTGCAGTTAACCGGGTTCTCCAGATTACCGTTTGTCCCGACCACATACTGAATCTAATCTCAAAACTGCAGCAATACCACGCTGGTCTAAACTCAAAGTCTAATTTGTATCATGTGAATAACTTACAAGCTCATACTTTTCCAGTCCTATAGGTTCATGTTGCGGTTAAAAGGTAGTGTGGCATACTGATTTACGTGTCAAAATGTCTAATGATACGGGCTTCTTTCACTACTGGATGCAGCTTCATTTATATTGGAACGTAGGGTCTGCTAATGCTTCATCAGTTCGCGCTTAGTGCAAAAACGACATCGGGTGGAAGAGAGTTCCAGACCGAACTCACTTGGATCGCGAATGACAGATGCCGGTATTGCAGTCGGCATTTTGAAACCGCTAGTTTGAACGGATGTCCCCTCAAATGAACCTTGGGTTATAATTTTAGCAGCGAGCGTCACGGATGACTTAGGTTTGCATTATTTGGTATACCAACGTCACTTCTCCTTTGATTCGTCGATAATAAATGAAATATAAACCCAGATTCATTACTCATGTTTATAGCTTGTTCCATCCATTATCAATTTATATTTATTATTTCATTTCGCTATAATTGCTGCGAGTAGGATTATGTATGTCTTTGGATCTCTCCTTCCAATGCTTCATTTATCTTCACAGGTTTTCTGTACTTCATCAGTGTCATTCTGGTATTCCATTCCTGGGACGTGGAGAATCACGTTTTACGAGACGATCTTCTCGTGACAAGATCAGCATGGAATAAGGTATGCGACCTCGTCAAACATTTTTCTTCCGCTTCCCGGGAATAGGTTTTACTACTTTCCTATCATCAGTAAATAAGCTCCGCTAGGTAATGTTCGAGTTAACCTTAGCGCACTTGACTTTTCTTGGGGCAGTCGATGCGCAGTATTGATTACGTAGACCGGCCAGAAGCGTTTGGATTCAGTCAACAGACTTCTTGCACCTCCAATTCTCTCATAAGGCTCGCGTTTGTTGTTCTTTTGGCCTCCTGGATTTTATTCGTTTTTCTGTAGGGTGCACCCATCATGTACATATAGGTTGGTTGAAATTTCCTACCTACCTTTGGCTAGAATTTGTTTTTGCTTGTATTTTTACAGAATGCCTTGAGATCGAGTTTCAGTCAATCACGCAAGCACACTGTCCGGATACTTACCTATTTGTTTTGTGAATTAAACTTCAAGACCACGTTGCGAAGTGCCAACAAATCGAGAAAATGCTAAATATGACGTTAGTCATGCGCAAGTGCTATCAGAAAACCATTTATGTGGGAAATCAACAAATCGCTGTATAATCTCCACGTCTAGTTGTTGTTTCTCTGTCGAGTTGAATCAGGTAATCGTAATATTTAGGCACATCCAAAACATCTGGTTTATTGAAATGTTCTCGCTCACCAACCGTCTGTTCTATTGCACGTTCAGATCTCATCCACTCTGCTCGAGGTGACTCGATTCACCTATGGCGTGGCACCGCTTCTGGCCACCATTGCTTGGCTATGCGTGAATGTGGCCAGTGTGTTGTTTCTATCCGCCAGTACCCTTATCAAGCTGCCCAAGGATGAGCTTCATGGGAACGGCCGTGTGCATTAAAGCTTTTCGACCATTTCTTTGACGTTTTTGAGGATCTGGAAAAGGATTCCTTGTTTATACTTAGTGTTTAATAGAAAAAAGTATTATATTGAGAAACTGGTTGACTTGTTGAAATGTCCAGACAAATAAAATCTCCCCCCTCTCAAGTCCTAATTCTGTTCTGTTCACATTTTGCAGCATTGTTCATTTGACTATCCGATGTTGTATCATGAGATTACTTCAAGTCAGAAGAAACGTATGATCTTGAGGCTGTTTCACGATCATAAACTTTACGTTTCCAAGCAACTGAATGATCTGTTTGGTTTTCAGTTGTTCACAGAGAATGCGACACAACCACTAGACAGATCACGACAGAGTGTGCACACATTTTCTGTGTGAAAAATCTGTATAGCAGAGAAAACCCACAATTAAAACATAATGAACCATGGAAATACAACAGCATACCCCGAATTACGGTCAATCCGGTCTGAACTAAACAATCGATCCGACACGATAAGGTCAAACGTGCCAGGAAGGCGATCTCTTGGAAGTCAGAGGAGGAATGACATGTGGATATAGCGACCGTGCTATTTAAAGGGTGATGAGGACCAACCACAGGGATGGGATAGCGAAGTGACACCAAAGGCGGGTGTGAGGCTACAGGTGGCAACCGTAATCGCGATGTGAGAGAATAGACAACGGACACGAGGGGGTGTTTGGAATGGTTAAGCACACAAGAAGGACGGTAGCATGTGGGTCAAGGAATAACGGATTGCAAGAAAAGAATGAACAGTGAACGAGTGACAGCAGTCAAAACGGAAGGATAGTCATAGTGGGTGGGTGATGAATAGGTGGCCACAAATAATACGAGGCACTTTCTATGCCGGGTCGAGATAATAGATAATGCTAGTGTATTGAGCGCCGAACGAGTGACGAAAGTTACCACAAAATAGTTTTCATTGGGGATGAAGATAATAGATTACGGAAATAGGTGAGACGAAGAACGGGTCAGGAAAATTAATATGAAAGTTGCTGTATGGGGCGGTTAGGTAACCATGAGGGGGAATGCAAAAAAGTGCAAACTAAATGGCCATGTAGGGTGAACGTAGCAAGTTCCGATCCGGCGTGCAAAGGTCACCAAACTTGGAGGTGGTTAGGATCGCACATGGTTTGATGGGTTTTGAACACAGTAATAGTAGGTCCGCTGTGCGTAATTTCAATCACACAATAAAGCGTCTTACAGTCAAAGTGGAGCAAATATGAGCTGGCAGCTAATACCTCCCTTTCCCATGAGAAACATAATATTTTTTCGTGATTACCACTTTTTATCTTCATTGGTGTGAACAATTGAAAAGGCTGTCTAAACAGTCCCACAGAGCACATTTCAACTAGAACAAGAAGTGACGAACAAGCTCGTTTTCCAGTGATTCGTGGTCATTGTGATGTATTTGGCATGACTACGAATCACTGAAAACTAGCTTTTTCGCCGCTCCTTCTAAGTGAAAAGGTGTTCAAGCCTCGCAAGAGCTAAGCTTTCTTGCCCCCAATTTTAATTAATAAGCTTCAAAGATAATCAAAGGTAATCATTTGGCTTTTGCACCGATCAGGGAAACTGAGACCAGTTGGATTAGCACGTGCACTTCACGTACAGAGAGCGCAGTGCATGTACCTTTAAGCTAAGCAATGCCACCAATGTTTGAGTGAATGATAGCATGAGTAAAATTGAGATGTCCTTGACAGATATGCTTTTGGTCATAGTTGATGGATTTTCCAATATTGGGACTTCGGTTCATTTTGTTAAACAAGAATCCTGCGGTGCGTTAATTTGAGTCGTGATAAGCAAGGATTGCCCAAGCGCAAAACACGGGAATTGCCAGTCAGTCCAAATATTACATTTAGAACTCACGGGAAATAGCTGGTAAGCAAAAAATGCAGCAACTATGACTTTTCCGATAGCAAATAGCTTTTGCATTAATATCCTGCAATGTTTGCTTGTGAGGGTTACTATATCCGCCGCAAGTTACTATAGGGTGCATCTGATTTACCAATACCATGGTTATAAGCGGTGTCCCATGAGTTCTAGTGCTCATTTGATGTTTTGTTGTCAAAAATGTCACTCAGCTTCGATTCGATTTGTGTCAACGTTTTGGATCATGCTAGGCAATACGCGTTCGCGTATGTCAGTCGTTATGTTTGTATGAGCATGCAGTTTCCTGTCGCGATGTTGGAAACCAAGGTGATTGAAGAAGTAGATGGACAGAATGGAAAACTGGGAGCACTAGAAATGTGATGACATACAACTAACCAAACAAGCACGTTCCGTAACTCAGATAGGAATGAACTTGACTGCAGTGCACGTTCGTACAATGGTGAACAAAGAAGGCTTTGTTTATTGGTAGACAACGTAGCATCTTATTTTGCTATCAAAGTAGTAAGGGCCTACACAGGCAGCCGTTACTGTAGATAATACTTTAAATCGAACGATGGACTGTGTAACAATAGCGTTATATCGGTTGTATGATGTGGTGGCAGATCTAACCATGGCCTGGTGAAGTTCTTCCCCCCACTCCGGTTAACTCGGCACTCCGGCAGTCAGTTCGCATTGGACTATAGTGCTCTTTTTCCCTTTTTCAGCTCATTTGTTTTGCTTGCACTTTCTAGATTTTTCCTAACATTCATAAACGACCTACCGAAGACTCTGGGGCCAAAATGATTACTGTTGCAGATGACGCCAAAATTTGGAATGCACTCTGTAGCATGGGACATTTTACGCAAGGTATTGTATATATCACTGTCTTTTAGCCACAACACAAGTCTATAGGATAAGAAAAGCAGGTATTTGTAAGTTATTCCGATTATAAATCTTTGGTCTGTAGGAACCATTTGGGTTCTTGGCAAGTGATCTTTCGATTGATTTGTTCTTCTCGCCTACACACAAATCCCGGCTCTGTTATCCTGATTCTATTAACACAGAACACATTCATTACTCAATTTTTTTCCTTCGCTGATGCTGTTCATCTTGCGGGGATAGTTCTACGGCAAACTCTTTAGAGTCTTGGTCTTGTGTTTGAAGCAATACGGTTTCATTCTTATTTGTGATTAGTTGGTTTTTCCTCCCCGTGGAGGGAAGCCGTGCTCTTATTTTACAATTTTGTCCGGTGTGTCCCACGTGACATTCGGTAGAAATATAAACATGAATCACGTGTTTTATTTCAATGTGGATACAACAAAATGATATCAAAAAATAAACAGCAAACTTTCATCAAATTGTGCAGCAAAAGCGTGCTACATCCGCAATACTAAGTCGTACGCCAGATACAGATTCGAAAAGCCCGCATGGAAGAGGTCTTCAGAAAAATTTTTCGCGCGCCAACTGATTCATGATTCTGAAGGCAAAATACATGTGAGAAATGTTGAAATATAATGTGAAGCATTTTCAATTAAACGAAAAGTCTTGTAAGATAGATTTCTAGCACTCTAATCCGCTTGGTCTTGATCTACAGTAAAAACTGCCAGTTTCCTTAATGGGACGAATTGAAACAAATACTGTCTAACTAACATTATAACGCTCAAAATAAACACTACTTTTGGTGCATCTAATTGTGTGTGCGATCCCCAGGTCAAATGGTCTTGGATCAAACGTTTCGAATCCAAAATTGTGTGCACCGCAGTCAGCTTTAAACGCGGATCCGGTAAAATAAGAGACATAGATTCGTTTTATCTCAGATGTCACTCAGATAAAACTGTGAGAATTCCTGCGATTTGATTATAAATGCTTCGTATCGACAAACGCGTTGCTTGCGAGAATACTCCTACCTCATTCTTCGAACGGTCAGTCAGTCAGTCAGTCAGTCATTCATTCATTCATTCAGTCAGTCAGTCAGTCAGTCAGTTAGTCAGTCAGTCAGTCAGTCAGTCAGTCAGTCATTCAGTCAGTCAGTCATTCATTCATTCAGTCAGTCAGTCAGTCAGTCAGTCAGTCAGTTAATCAGTTAGTCGGTCAGTCGGGTTGACTGTTTCCCGTTTCTGCACATTACAGGTGCCTGCTGCTTAAACCGTAATGAAGATCGTTTTGCTCGGCCTAGGAGTGTTTCCGCGATGAATGGATTTGTCAGTCTTTCGCGGGTGTATGAGAATGATAATTTAATTATATATATTAATAATAAATAAGTATAAATAAAAATTACATTCGTCAACTCACTGGGCAGTTTTTCCACCAGATCTATTTGGATCAAGATGAGAATTGGAATTGGCCATTAGTTACGATGTATGGATATGGTGGGAGAACCTCCCAAATGATAACTTATGTATGGCAGTGATAGAAAACCAATCAATCTGCATTGATTTTGATCCGGTTAACAAGGATTTTTGATTCAGTGTGCTGGTCTGGTGCAATTGGTTTACATGTTTAGGAGATGTTTTGTTTGCTCCTCAGCGGAGGCGTTCGAAAATGCTTTACAACAGCCAGAGTAAAACAGAATCAAGATTGGTATTAAAGTATGAAAAGACCCACAACATGATGTTCATATACCACAGTAACGCCCAAGCACATGCGTTCGTATTCCATCGAGGCTTACGACTGTTCTAGAATTTCATCTCAAAAAACGTTTTTTCTCATGTCTAATGAAAATAAAACAGATTTGGAAATTTATTTTAAGTTGCTATTATCTTAACAAACTTTGAGCTTTGAGTGTCACAAAAAATTACAAAATCAGTAGTATTTTCACTCTCAGTGTTATACTGGCGAATAAACTGGAAACACCGCGAAATTCTCTGATCGTACCTCAATGTCAGTTGCCTGGAAAGGGGCTAAAGAACCGTTTGTTTTGTTGAGTAATATTCAGTTTCCTTGAATAGTTAATTGGAACACAAGACTGGTCGCATATATGTCTTAGTGAGTCAAAGATTGAGATAATTGGGGAGAATTTTTGAAGATTGATTCGGTCTTACGGTTGTGAGCTATCAGCAAGAACGTCTGTGCGTTGCCATACGTCACCCTCCTTATCGCTACAACTCGTTGA